CACCCGAGCTGTGGGTGCCAGCTGGGTGAGCTCGGTGCGTCTGCAGCGCCTCGCCGGCATCGGATCATCTTCAGCCGCTGCGGTGTCCCCTCAGAACTTTCCCTTCCCCTTGAAAAGCACGCTTTTTCTTCATCCTTTGAAAATGTATTAAGGGACGCGGGAGATGGCTCAGTGGCGTCAGCGCTTGCCAGGAAAATATATTAAGGTCTCCTTGAGCACCATTGTTTGCACACTGATGAAGGGGCACTTTTATTTCAATGTAATGGCACAAGCAGAGAGAAAAATGCTTCGTTCAGTTTCACAGAGAAGTACGAAATGAAAGCCTGCATGGCCCCTGTGAGAGCCCCCACAGGAAAGGGGCCAACTCCAGGGTCCGCGTCCCTTCCCCACCACAGTCTCGCCTGCCCGCCCCCAGACAGCTGCTGGTCCGACCTGTGTCATGATTGCCCCTCTCCTCATGCCCCGACGCTGGAGTTGAGGCCAGAGCGTCGTGCGTCTGAGGCAGGTGCTCTTCCAGCAGGCTGCACTGTGGTTGGCTCTTGTAAAGTGCAGTTTTGGTGCGTTTGTGTATGTCGGTGTGTACACGTCCAGCGCCGCTGACCACACCTGCCTGTTCCTGAACTTTACACAAATGAACCATGTTGGATGTGAGATATGTGTTGCCAGGAAGCAGTGTGGGTTATCCGTGTCTCGGTGTGGGTTATCTATGCTTTGGTGTGGATTATCCATGTTTCCGGTGTGGGATTACCCATGTTTTGGTATGGATTATCCATATTTTGGTGTGGGTTATCCATGTTGTGGTGTGGCTTATCCATGTTTATGGTGTGGATTATCCATCTTTTGGTGTGGATTATCTGTGTTTTGGTGTGGGTTATCCATGTTTCGATGTGGGTTATCCATGTTGTGGTGTGGCTTATCCATGATTCGGTGTGGCTTATCCATGTTTCTGTGTGGATTATCCGTGTTTCTGATGTGGCTGCACTTTGTCCTTGTCGCCTTATAATGGTGCTCATGTGTTTAGTCCAAGCATACAACAGTCTATGTGTTCGTTGGTTTTACTCTTTACTGATGAAATAAGAGCAGCTCTATTTTCTGGCTACTGTGGGCAGCGTGCTCTGCGTGTTGCGTGAGTTTCCACCACGCAGCTAGGGATGGCTTCACCTTCCGGTCTCTGGGCTCCGCCCTCACAGACCCAGGCAGACTTGGGTGGGAGCGCCGGGGAGGGCTGGATGCTGGCTTTTCTCCTGTCTTCGTGCCCTAGTAGCTCCGTCCTGACAGCGACTTCTACAGCGTGTATATCATATGCAGTGTTACACTGGGAGAACTACGATATTTACACATGTGGGTCTGGTTTACTTCACTTATGAGTATATCTTCAAGTTGCATCCACTTAAATATGAAAGCTTCGTGTTTATCTTTTTTTTTTTTTTTTTTTTTTGTAAAATCGGGGATTGAACTCAGGCCCTTGCGCTTGCCAGGGAAGCGCTTATTCTACCGAGCCATCTCCCTGGCCCCCGAGTTTATCATTCTTTATAGCTGAGTAATACTCCACTGTATAAAAATAGCACATCCTCTTCATCCATTCCTCAGGTGATGGGCATCTGGGTTGTTTCCAAGATTTGGCTGTCACAAACTGTGCTGCTATAAACGTAGGTGCACATATATCACTGTGACATGTTTTCAGTTCCTCTGGGGAAAAAATAAATTACCAACAGAATGGAAAGACAACCCACAAATTTGGAAAAAATCTTAACTAATAAGCACTCAGACAAAGGTCTGCTTTCTAGAATTTATAAAGAACTAAAAAACACTAGGGCCCCAGAATTTAAAGCCCCAGTCCAGAAATGGGCACCCGAGATGAATACCCACTTCCCAGAGGACGAAATTAGAGAAGTGAATAAATGTATGAAAAAACGCTCCACGTCACTAGCCATCCGTGAAGTGCAAATTAAAACAACACCGAGTACCATCTCACCCCAGAAAGAATGGCTATCATAAACAAATCACCCAACAACAGATGTTGGAGAGGCGGTGGGGAAAGGGGAGCCCCTCTCCACTGCTGGTGGGAACGCAGACTCGTATGCGGTGTAATAAGTAGTCTAGAGGCGGTCTAAGATGCACAGCATGTAGGTGGGATGTAAATATTATGCCGCCTTATGTAGGGACTTGAGGGGACTCAGATTTTGACATCCGCACGAGGCCAGGGGCCAGCTCCCCGGGTTATCAGGCGAGCTTGTGCGTCTTCAACTCTACTGAGCACTATGAACTTGCTTTCCAAGGTGTGTTGCTCTGCTTGCTAACTGAATTGTACCTCTGTTAGGCGCTGGGATTTCTGCCCTTTTGAGATGCTACCCAAGCACTTAGCTGCTTTTCTGTTTTACTAATTCAGAGTTGCTCATAGGCTGCGCTTTGCTCTTGATAGACTCGTGTAACTAAAGAGATATTTCTACGTTAATAAAAAGCTTATGACAGCGTTTTCTTGGTCCAAATGTGATTTTAAAGTATCACTGATGGAATTTAGCAGAAAGCTGTTCTCGAGACCTATGAAGGGTCACGTTGCTTAGAATTGTGCATGTGGATGGTAAACCGACTTCTCCCAGGTGTCATTCAGGTATTTTGTGCAGGGCGTAGATTCCAAGAGCGATCTAGGACAGGTTTCTGTCGGTTTTTCTCACTGTCTTTCCCACATGCTCAGATAATTATTTTCTTCTGCATTCTTCATTTGCAGTAACATGCCACAGACGATTACTACAGGCAGAACTGGAAAGGAAACACTTTATTTTTTAAAATAATTTTATTGAGAAACAAATAGCAATGAGACAGTTTCAAAACTGATTAGTAGGACAGTTTCAATAATTAATGCATTGCATATTGTTGTCTTGATGGTTCTTCATTGTGCAAGATGCAGACATGATATCCTGTCCACAAACACTATTAGAACAAATCTTTCTAATCATTGAATTGAGAGAAAGTAGCTGTATATCTGTCCTAACTATTTTGAATATACAGATACAAAATGGTCATTCATTTGTATCCTCCTTTTTTGTTTTTATCAGAGAAGGGCACTCCGTTGTCATTTAAATATTGTAGGTGTGTGAATTCAGCAAAATATTCCAATATAGTCTAGCAATCCATAATAGTATTGGGTCTTCCGGAGGACTGGCAATGTCAGAAGTTGTTGACTTGAGCCTTTTACAGCTCAGCATATTAATATGGCTTTACTTTTTATACTTCGATTTTATATTTTTCTGCTGGATGGTTAAGACCAAGATAAAGCAAGACCTATATAACAAGAAATGTAGCTTTTGTATCTGATAAGGTCAGTCAGCTGGCCACTGCTTTCCGCTACACTCAGCTGAAGAACCTTCCAGATGAGAGAAACCTTCCACTTTAATAAAGAAATCCTTCTTGGGAGGCAGAGCTGGACCAGCCCTCGCTCACGCCTGAGCCACATCAGCAACCCTGAGAAACCGTCTGAGTGTCCAGGAGAACGCCAACAGCCGGACATCACTGGTTGACTATAAGCTAATGCTTTCTCATGCCTCTCGGCTTGGACATTGAAAATTAGCTTGTTTTCTTTCCACGCATAATTTATTTTTAAAAGGAACATGCTCATTGACAGATGAGGGGCTGGGGATTTGGCTCAGCAGTAGAACGCATGCCTAGCAAGCTGGAAGCCCTGGGTTCCGTTCCCAGCACAAAACCAAAATGTAAACCTCCCCTAAAAACAGTTCAACCAATAAAATACAAAAAATACAATTAAAAGAGATGAAAACCAAACAAGGCAGCTCATTGACAGATGAAGCAGAATAGGAACAAGAGAGAAGGCTCTGCCACTCAGACGCGGCTGTTAGGTTTTCTCGAGCATCTTGCAGTCAGTGTGCGCTGCACACACCGGGGCAACCCTGCGAGCCTGAACCCTCGGTCACCTCTCATCTGGAAGGTTCTTCAGCTGAGTGTAGTGGAAAGCAGTGGCCAGCGGGGCCCTGAGCCGGGCAGCACAGCTGTCCTCCTGCCGCGCCTGTGTTCCTTGCACTTTCAAGAGAAGTGTGAAAATAGAAAAGGAAGGCACAGTGTGAGTACTTCTTGCCCTGCTTTGCCAAACCACCAAGACCGGACTTTCCCAAGAGAAAAGTCGGGATTAAAATTAAGCACTTCATTGAAACAACTTCCCAAAACATGGTGCTTTAAGGGAACTGTTCAGAGAGTCGGGATTCCCCAGCAGACGCCCATGAGCTATGACGAGGGACACAGAAGACGCGGAACACACAGGCGCGTCGATTCAGGTTCCTTCTCGAGCGAAGGACCCATGGTGCCTGCTGCGCCTCCAGGGCACGGAGAAGGGCCAGTCCTGCTCCTTCAGGAAGGAGCCGTTCTCGCCGAGAGGCCCTCGACCCAATTCTGGGAAATATTTATTTGACTCTGCCAGTCTGTGTGTATGTGCACAGCACTTTTTCTGGTTATAAAAATAACATAGTCATTTTGTAAAATTCGGTAAGTGGTTAAAAGTATGGCAAACAAAATTAAAATTCCTCTCCATTGAGCTACTAGAGATTGCCAGGGTTTGGTGTGTTTTGGTGTATTTTCTGCTACTCATTACCTCTGTGTATCTATAAAGTGTGCAGATATTTTTTAGGCAGGACTGTGGAAATGGTGTGTGTGTGTATAGCATGCAAGTAGCATTTTCACTGTTATTTTACTTAAAATATCATTGTTTTTGATTAATCAGGCTTTGTACAAAGAACAAATGCTCCCTTTTCCCCTTCAGCCATTCCTGGTTTTGTTTTGTTTTGTTTTCCGGAACCGGGGATTGAACTCAGGTCCTTGCGCTTGCCAGCAGGTGCTTATTCTCCTGAGCCATCTCCCGGGCCCCGCCATTCCTGATTTTAAGGCTCTACGGGGTTCACGCTTTCTCTTCTTCTAACTGCAGTGGTGTCCAGCTGCAGAGGGAAACTCCAGGGTTGGACCTGACACAGCCTCGCTCTCCCTTCCCCTCCCAGGCTTCTACCACAACAGCACGAAGGTGGCCGTGAAGACCCTGAAGCCGGGCACCATGTCCGTGCAGGCCTTCCTGGAGGAGGCCAATCTCATGAAGACGCTGCAGCACGACAAGCTGGTGAGGCTGTATGCCGTAGTCACCAAGGAGGAGCCCATCTACATTATCACCGAGTTCATGGCCAAGGGTGGGTGCCCGCCCCACCACCTCTGTTCTGTTCCGTTCCTTTCCCTTCTCTTTTCATTTCATTCCATTTCCTTTCTTTTCTTTCTCTCCCTTCCTCCTTTCCTTCCCCTCAGTTATTTTGAGGTTCTGGAAAGTGGAACCCAGGCCTGCCACATACTAGACAGGCTCTCCGCCTCTGAGCTATATTTCCAAACTGCCCATATCTTTAAAAGACTTCAAAAATCAAACTGTAAGTATTCAGGGAACACCCAGTTTTAATTTTATATTAACATACTTGCTATTGAAAAACAATAACAAAAAAAAAAAAAATAAAGAGAAAAAGCAAACGTGTTTGCAGATCCCCCCCTGAGAGCAGAGCGCAGGCCACCGGGGCCCATAGTGCTTCTGCTTTCTCTGCACCTGCTTGCATGTGCCCGTGTGCTCCAAGGACAGTGCTGTGTACCTGAGGCACCCTAAGAAATGTGGTATTTGTCAGTCGAATATGCATTTCAAAGGAGGAATGCATATTTTTGTTACGTGTTTAAAAGGTGAATATTCAAAAGGATACAACCAGTTTATTGTTTTCTTCAGCATTGTCAAAATGTTCAGGGTTACAGGGAATATGGGGTTTAGGACACAGGGCAGGGGCAGAGAGGTTGGCTAGAATTCACAAACAGGCTTTGTGTCTAAAGCACCTGGAGGTTGAGTTTGTGTGGGATTATGGGGCAGGAAAGAAGAGGCGCCCAGCAACCCCCTTTCTTCACTGTTACCATCTCCAGATAAGAGGCTCTGGTCGCTGCCCCGCTGTTGGTCACTTCTGCTGTTTTGTAGAGGTGCTAATAAACTCTTAGATGATTTGAGGTCCTCAGAAATAATGAGTAAAGAGAAGAAAGCAGCATGCCTCACTCAAAATTAGTTATCACTCAAGCGTGATGGATGCTATTGGGTAATAGAGCTGAGGAGGTTGGAGAGAGAAGACACCACTTAGTATCTGCTAACGTTTGGGAGCAGCGGTTACTCAGAGTCCTTCCAGGAAGGCCTTCTGAAGGCAGAACAGAACGGACACACCTGACCCGGAAACCAGACTCAGGGCTGGGGGCTCTGCGGTCCAGTAAACGTCAGTGAATTAATTAAGGCGATTCTTAACCATACACATAGCGATAGTGTGTCCCTCTTCTTCACAACGCCTAGCGCTTACCGAGCCCTCCACCGCCCAGAAGGTAGCGTTTGTTGATCAATGGCTTTCTGCCAGACACCACGCCGTGCGCTGTCCATCCATGCCTGGTTAGACCCGAACCAGGACTGCAGTCGAGCTTCTCTGCGCCCTCCGGTCATGGACTCTCGAAGTCAGTGACGGGAGCGAGGCTGCTCGCTCGTTGGACCTAAGCTCTGGGGAAGCCCCAGGGCCTGCTGGAGAGATGAGACCCAGGACAGAGGAGAGCTGCCTGTCTGCACACTGCCACTTAGGTCTCTCTGGTCTTTGTCCAGGGCACGGTTGGTTCCTCGAACACTGCCGAGCAGCAGGCGTGTGCTTGGGCTGAAAGCCTTGGGACTGAGCCCTACCCGGGTTAGCCGAGGCTTGCTCCTCGGGGCCTCGCCCACCGGCGTGGTCGTCGGAGGTGCTCACTCACTGCAGACCTGGCTCTGGGGAGCTGATGCTGCGGGCATCCTTGGCCATGTGCTGCTCAGCACAGGAGTGGCGAGACGGGCGGTGCCTCCCATCCCCCTCCCACTGGGAGCGCATCTATATTTAACGTCAGGTCAGAGGTGAGGACTGGAAGGAGCTGAGCTGGACCAGTGTCAGGAAATGACCACATAGAACCGGAAAGCCGTCGTTCTGGGGAGCGTTTCCCCCAGCGCTCAGGGTATTTCAGCTTCCTTTGGATTTCTCTCTCATATCAGCTGCTCTGACTTTCTCCTTCTGTGTACACAGGCAGCTTGCTGGATTTCCTCAAGAGTGATGAAGGCAGCAGAGTGCTGCTCCCGAAGCTCATCGACTTCTCTGCTCAGGTAAGGCACGGAGAGGCACGGTCCTCATGGAGACGTGCAGGGCCCTCGTGCTTCGGAGTCAGGGTAAATCTGACCTTGCCGTGTCAGGGAAAATGAATTTCCTGGAAACGTTTCTGAATGTGGTTGTGAGGAAAAAGCCCTTCCAAAGCACACATCATGGAGACAGCAACTGGAGCTTCGGAGAGAGAAGGGATGAGAGAGGGAGAGAGAGAGACAGAGACAGAGAGAGACAGAGGCAGGCAGGCAGGCAGGCAGGCAGGCAGAGTGAGGCAGAGTCCAGATCGGGCATGTGCCGCCTCTTTTGTGACACAGGCCAGCCATGTGCGCATTGTTTCCCTGCCAGTCGCAGGACACTGTGGCCGAGTCAGAGCACTGCCACGCTGTGTAAGTGCACCAGCCTGCATCATGCCTGGATTTTACTGAATTTAAGAATCTAAAGCAGATACTCCTAAGATCTCAGCATTCTTTTTTTTTTTTTTTTAATGTATTTAGTACAGGGTCTCGCTACACAAACTAGGCGTGCAATGGTCCTCCTGTCTTCAGTCTCCCAAGCGCTGGGGCCCCTCAGCATTCTTAAAATAAGGAACCACGTTCTCCCTGTCCTTCCCATGCTTGCCTCTCTTGTTCAGTGTGTTGCTAGCGTTTCGAAAAATGCGGTGATCTTGCCGGTGCTAAGCCAGGGACTGCTCATTTACTTGGGAATTGCAAGTTTCCTGAGCTCTATCTCAGCGCAGAGACAAGTGACATAGAAATGCACCCAACCCCGTGCCTGGTCTACCGAGGAAGAGTACACGTGAGTGACGCCAGCCCTGACTGTCGGTAGCTTCACTGTGTCTCCCGGCCATGAGCAGGAACTTGCTTGTTTGGTTCCGCGGTATTGGTCATGAGTGGTTTGTGCCAGGAAGGCCGTGCACCTGGAGCCCACTGAGGTGCACAGAAGCTTACAGGTCTTCTAGAGAAAGGCTGGCTGTGTCTTCCTCAGACATTCTTTCAGTTAGGAAACTGATGAGGCCTTCCCAGGAAGACAGGATCAAGGGAGTGAATGAGCACAGGAGGAAAGTGCTTCCCGTGAAACGGGATCAGAACACGCCCTTCGCTCTAGCAGAGTGCTTGGGTGGAGGTGGGGCTCTGTGCCTGAGAGCAGAGCTTGTGTCCTGGCCATGCCACCTGCAGTCTGGCCCCGGCCGGCTTAGTTTAACTTGCTCATGGAACAGGAATGATAATTCCCACTCCAAGGAGATGTGATGTTCGCATCACAGGAGCTACCATGGACTCAGGCCCTTCAAAGCCTGTTGGTAAGAGCTGGGAAACCCCGTTGTTCCAGTAGAAGTGAGTCAGCAGATCGGCCTACTCACCCCTCCGCTGCTCTGCCATTGTTGCTTCCTCTATGAGGAGGAAACGCTAATGTGGACAAGGGGCCAGTGTTGACACAGACAGAAGCAAAGTTGCTGACCTGGGGCAGAAGGAAGGGAAGGGTCCAGCAGGCTGGCGGACGCAGGCCCCCTCTGCTGGCCCTGAGCGCTTCCAGTGGACTCCAGGGGGTACAGGACCGGGGCCCAGGCCCACTGCTCCACAGGAGGAAAGGAAGTGTGGCCGGCACAGCACTGGGTCTCAGGTAGATAGCAAGGCCGGAAATGGAGAAAGTGGAAGGCTGATGTGTGTATGGACCATCCAGGGCATAAATGAGGCCCTCTGGATGTGAGGGCGATCTGGCTGCGACATCTGTCACCCCATTGATCGCCAGGGTTGATTCGGCTGATCTGGCTGGCTAGGCAGGTGTCCCCTTCCTCCCTCAACGATCCATGTGCGTCCCTCCCAAAGCTGCGCGCTCGGTCGAAGAGGACGACCACCCCCGATAGAGGAGGACCGTTCCTCGGTCAACGTTATATGAGTAGCTGCGCTCCCCTGCTAGAACCTCCAAATAAGCTCTCAAGGTCCATAAATGAGGCCCTCTGCTTGGGCGTCTCCTGTTTGGGTAAGAAAGCGCCCTGAAGAACACAGGGAAGGTTTGTGACACAGGAGGAGAGCATGGAAGAGGGGGGTGCATGACCAGGACGCCTGAGAGGTCAGTGCTATCCAGCCCACAGGCCTGATCTGTGCCCACGACCCTGTGGGGCAGACCTGGCACACCTCAGGCATGTGCTACCCCTGGGAATGCCCTCCTCCTGTTGAGTGGTGCTTGCAGTTGACTTGCTCTTGCCGATCTCATAAAGTATTTCCTTGTCATAGTCAAAAGTTTTAAGGCCCAAGTCAAAGCCTGTGTGATTATGTTCTAATTTAACTCATTACTCTTCCTACAAAGAACTGTGTCTTCTGACGTAGATGTAAGCAGGGACGGGGGCTTCTCTAGCTCTTCGTGACATGCAGGCAGGATGGGCACAAAGCCCACATTAGCGTGACCTCGAAGTATGATCCCAGCGGCTGAAGCGGGCTAGCCTGGGCCTGGGCCTGCTCTGTAGCGGGGGTCCAGGCTCCTGGGCCGCTTGACCACAGCCGGCTCGTGCTGGATGAGCTCGTGGGTATCCGAAGCGCAGTGCTACGGTGAGCCGTGGGGCATCCAGCTCCATGAACAGCGGCCCAGTGCCAGGGAAGAGCCACAGAGGGCTACGAGGTAGGTGGAGCGGGCTCAGACCAAGGCGGGCACAGGCCAGGCCGCCCTCTCGCACTGCGCCTCCAGCTGAAAACAAGCAAAACATCACCTCCTGTCCTCGTTCAAGGCGCAAGCCTCGGTCACACTCTTTCCTGATCTTTCTTCCAATGTGGAGCTGGTGAGACTACCTGCTGCCCCGCCAGGGAGTATCTTTTGCCTCACTTGCTATGACTTTCCTCACTATAGTGCCGACGGCTAGAGGGTCACCCAGCAGGGGCCTGTGCCCACCACCTTCAGTCCGCAGTCGCGTCCTCGCCGTGTCTGTTTCCGGTGACCAGACCTGGTACCTCGCCACGTCATGTGCCCTCAGTTTCCTTTATGGCCAGTGTTGCCTGGAATGCCTCTCTTCCCACATACTTCTGGCAGTCTCTCTGTGTGTTTGCGCCTTGCCTTTCCCATCAGGTGCCTCAGGTTAACCTTGTCACTTTCCATACTGAACCACATGAGAACAGAAATTTGAGTAATGGCGGCCTCAGCTAATAGCCCCTACTGAGACACTGGGAGTCCAGCCTTCCCTTCCCTTACTATTTAGGGTACAAAGTTAGGGATAAAGTGACAGAGAAATTATGTGCATCTATTTAGTGTCTGAGCTCTAATGAAACAATTAGTAGGCCGTAAAATGAGCTGGTGCTGGCTTTCTTCTTAGGTCAAGAGTCATGTTCACTAAGGGATTATTAAAGTCAGCAGTTTTTCGCAGCCAAGAGTGGCTGTTGGTGTGGAATTTAGTCTGCTTAGTCACAGAGGACACGGTAAGGGACGGAGCTGGGGCTTTTCCCACTCTTGGTCTGGCCTTCGCTTCCTCTCCCGTGACCTGCTTCCTCATGCCCTAGCGGCCCCGCCTGCCCTTCTCCGGCTGCCCAGTGAGAAGTGGCTCGGTGCGCAGATGACTGCTGCTCACTTGACAGCGGTGCTGCTTCGCTTCCGGTTGTGGGTGGGATTCCGAAAGGCGCGGCCAAGCCTGAGCACAGTGCACTCTGGCCGCCCTGCAGCCCGCGAGCTCTCGCCGGTCAGGAGGGAGGAGGAGCGTCCGGCTCCAGCAGCCTTACGCAGCAGGGCCTTTCTCCTTGGGCTACGTAAGGCAGCTGTGTGGTTTTCAGCCCCACCCCAGGAACATGACCCTTTGCAAAGCACCTCTGCTGTGTCAGTGTGGGGGACTGAGCAGAATTCCCCTCCAGCTTTTACCCCAGACAAGAGCAAAGGATAGAATCCTGCACTTGGAAAACGGGGAAGAAAGTGGTGTGCACAATTCACAGTCAGAGAAATCGTCGTCGTGTCATTCAAATCAAGTACGACAAAGCATTTATCGCTCTTTGGTAGAAAAATCATCAAAAATGAAACAGTTATTTGCGTCCAAAAGTCATTGCTATAATGATGGCATCAAATCACACTTATCGGAGCTCCTTCCAATTGACAAAGTGCTCCCCCCTCCGTCACCTAGTTGAAGCCCCTTACACATTCATACAGTTACTCTGTACATTTTCTAGAACAGCAACTGCCCTTGGAGTTGTCCTGGGCTGCTGAGCTTGTAGACCAGCTGTGGACCTGATCCTGCTTCGCTGCTGCTGCTGCTGCTGCTGCTGCTGCTGCTGCTGCTGCTGCTGCGTGCTGCCACCCGTGGGCAGAGCTGTTCTTGCGACCCGGTAGCACCCAGCCCGAGGGTGAAGGACGGATTTCCCCCGTCAGAGTCACGGCTTCTGCAGCTTTTCCTGCCGACCCCCAGCCTCTGTGGCCAAGGCCTGCTCTTGCTGTCATGTAGTGACTATGCTCAGGATATACTTTGCCCTACTATTAAATGCTAAGTCCCACTCTCACCTGCTGATTAGTGACGTGAGGAAGGGAAGAAACCTCCGTCTGTTTTGTAATTGCAACCTCGGTGAGTCGGGAGGCCTTCGCCGTCAGAACCTCTCGAGCCTGTACTCCTTATGCTGGTTGGCGAGCCCTTGCCAGAGACTGGACGTACACCTACCAGTCCGACATGGCGGGTCGGCAGGAAGGGCCTAGAGGGGCTTCTGCTGGGAGTCCTTGCCAGTGTCACCAGGTGCGGTTCTTCTCATGCTGTCTCTGTGAAGAACCCAGGAGATAAGGTGGGGCTTTCTAGCTCAAGGCTGTCCCTCAGTGTCATCCCTCTGCCTGCGCTGCCACCATAACGTCCTAATGCAGCAGCCACTTTCTGTTCAAAACCTTCACAAGTATTAGCCCTTGACTGGGGTCATCACATTTAGTTTTCCTAAACAGAAGGGTGACGTTGGGATAGCATGTGGGTCTCAGAGGCAGGTGGAAGACTCGGGTCACTGACCGGGCATCTGCTTCCTCCAGGAGGCCGCATCCCCCACTCAGCTCTTAATCTCTT